CGTCTTTCTTAGCATTGCAGATCCCATTGAGTTGTACTGTGACAACAATGGTGTGATTACGCAAGCTAAGGAATCCCGGTCACATCAGAGATCCAAACACATACTCAGGCGATTTCACTTGATCAGAGAAATCATCGACATAAGAGACGTGAAGATAAGCAGAGTGTCGAAAATGATAATATTGCCGACCCATTGACGATGCCTCTCCCTTCGTCAAAGCACGACGGTCATGTTAGGGGTATAGGGATTAGATGCTTGTAGGATATATCATAGAGTATAGTAGAAGATTGTTGGTTGTAATGCTCTAGGATGATCCATGATATGACATTTGACTATGTATTGATTTATTGGTTCATGAATGCATTACTCTTCTCGTTATATGATTGGCATGTTTGTTATCTTTCGGTATCCTTGAATCATTAGAAAATGATTCTAAATTCCCTAGTCAGTCATTATCGTGGGAACGATGATGAATTAAGACCAACATGAGGTGTGATTGATGATCATGGTAATGATCTTATGCATTGGATGAAAATCACAATCATCGGTACTCGTTGAGAACGAGTGACTGGATGACCCACATGAGATTGTCACATGGACAGAGTCATGACTTGAATCTCATACAACGGTTCATTCTTGGATCCTCAGACCTGAGATGTCTAGAGTATCTGATATGAGGAATGACGTGTCTTGACTGCGTTAAACATCGTCTTTAACTAGATGATTATAACGGCGTCGTTCAGATACGTTCACGGATCATATGGAGATAGTAGACATGCAATACGAGACTTGTCACCTCCTTAATGGGAGAGATGTCGCTGAGCCCCTCGTGGAAGTCAGACTATGAAAAACGTGTGACCACCCTGTAGATGAAGTTGCATCAATTTTATTAGTCGATTTGCCAATACGAGAAAGCGGTTGGACTTGAAGGGTAGCTCAAACCATGCCCTTGTTCAATATATGATATCGTGAGACAAAGGATCAGAACTTGAGCTGTTAATGCCTTAGTTAGATCATCTCTAACTCAATTCTAGGTGGTGGTCATGGCGTCTTGCTAGAGGTTAACCATGACTTATGGTTCGGAAAAAGTTCCCGAAGTCACTGCCACTTAGAATGGGCCTACAGGGTCAGATACCACTAGGGATGGACTTATACATGAAGAATCCGAAGAAAGGAATTGAGATTGGACCGAAACGGGCATGAGAAAGTGTTCTCAGTGTGTTGGTCCGAAGCTGACCAAGTTTGGTGATAACTCCTATTTTTCTCTATATTTTTATGAGAGTTTATCTAGGTTTTATAGAATAATCGCATGCATTTATAGGCATTCTAGGCGTGTTAGGACACAAAATCCGGTTGCGCTTTAGTTTTGCAGAGTTACAGGTTTCAGAGATGATTGGCCTAAAACGGAACACTTTTGGAGTTTTAGAGATGAAGTTTAGAAGATACGTGCATTACGAGCTCAATAACTTTCTCCACAGAAGTCCAAATGATGAGGATTTTATATCATTGGAAAGATCATTTAAATAGCTTCGCATAGACGCCAAAATTACTCAATTCCGATATTGGAGTAGAAAGTTATGGACAAAATCGTGAAGCCTAAAATTTCAGAGGTCTAAACCGGATCGGTTTAATCTAAACCGAACCAAACAAAAAAAACCCTAATTCCGCGATTGTTTAGAGTTCTAATAGGAAAAGGACTCTTGTGAGCCACCCTAGGGTTATTGAGAAGGCCTAGACACATCCTAGAAGAAGAGAGAAAACTTAGAGACACACTTTGGAGATCTTTTGGTGAGAAAATAATAGAAGTTCACGGGATTTCGGGAAGAAGAAGGAAGATTCGATCGTGGAGTCCACACATCGACATGAGCTTTTCTATCCCTTCTTTCATCTTTTTTTCATTGTACTTTTTATTGTTTTCCATGAACCGTGAGTAGATCCACGACTATGGGTTAGAGATTCGTTTGTGTTTGGGTATGTTTGAACCGTAACTTGGATTTTGACGTTGTGCTTGTTTCAGTTTATCGATTTATGCTATCTTTTCTATTGATGTTTGCTAATCACTTGGCTAATAATCTTAGATTATGAATCACATAGAGATATAGGTTTAGTTTCAGATCAAAATCGATGAATGAATCGTATTATTCACATAGAGATATGGTTTAATCGATTTAAGACTGATGATAGCGTTCTTCATGTATCTAGGGTTAACCTGAATAGATCGAGAGATTGACGAGTTATTCTAGGTAGTGAGTTGGTAGGCCGAGAGGTGAATTCTCTATCTTTGTTGCTTAATGATTCCCGAATACAAGTACGATGTCGTTATTCTCGCATGTTTAGCATATATTCATACACGCGAATACGGTCCCGACACCCATGGTCATCGTTGCTTGATAGTTCACACGTTTTCTATTTGCTTTCTTATCTTAATTGTCATTGATTCCACATATTTCCACCATCACTTCCACTTGCTTGCTTTGATTTGGTTTCGATTAGGGTTTAGATTTAACTAGTGGTCCTTGCGTTCAATCCATGTTACGACGATCCGTATCTTTGCGGTGAGTTATGAATCGGGTTATAAATTATAGATTCCGTACACACGTATCATTTGGTCAGCTCCCGACCATGTTTGGTCAGCCCAGGAAGTCTGAACTCAGCCCATGGTCATCTGTCGAGGTCTGGTCCGGCTGACCAAGAGTTGGTCAGCTCCGGACCAGATGCTAAATCAGGCGGACCAAGGGTTAGGCGAACGTCGGGCCAGAAGAGGAAAAACCTTGGTCCGGAGCTGACCAAAAGTTGGTCAACCCCGAACCAAGACTTATAATTTCTCAGCGGACCAACGTGACGGACTTAGCTTGGTCCGCCGGACCGTGGATCGGAAAAGTTTTCAATTTTCGGATTTAGGGTTTTCTAAGCCTATTTAAGTTTGGAAACTCATCCAAACTTAATGAGCATGCCTCCAAAACTCAGAGACACGTCTTAGAACCCTAGAGAATTCGTTCGCTTGCGTTCTTAGTCCCGGGATTCGATCCCATGTCTATGAGACTCTATTCTCTTCATAGATCCTAGCATTGCAGTTCCAAAGCGTTTGGAATCCCTCCTGCAGGTGTAGATACGTGTAGAGGGACTGTAACTCAGTCCTAGGTGATTAAAACAGGCCCCGGATCGTTCTACTTCAAGGTAGCATTTGATTCGAGGTAAGTATTCTATACTCACGACGATATACACGTTCTTTCGGGTTTTGTATGTTTGTTGCGTGTGACGTTTGACTAGGTTTAGATTATCCTTCCACTGCATGACACCTAGTAACCATACCCTAGATCGATGTGATCGCATGCTAGGAACCTGTAGTGAACCCCAACACGCGACCATTAGACTCATCTTCAAAGACTGTTTCTTCTTCATATGGAATATATATCTGAACTGAGATTTTTCTGTGAAATGTTTCCTCTCTTCTTCAGTGAAATGATTTTCTAGAAAATCCATTACTTCGATGTGAAAAGATATATTCACCGAAATTTTATTCATATCGTCAAAATCATAATAAAATGTTGGTATCAGTGGAGTCTCCATCTCGATCTGCAATAAAACAAGTGCATCCAGTTGCATTAATGACTAATATACACATATTCAAATACTATTATGTTTAAACGACATTGCACCAAACACTTCTGTAATTTTTAGTAGCACCTACGACTCTTCACAAACATAAAAATTTTGCAAATAAGACTAAATTACATACACGCACAAAAATACTTCGTAATATTCCACTTCAACCCTCAATCATCACATAATCTGAACCCTCTGTCACTAAATTATGGTTCTACGCTAAAACTCTATATATTGAGAATACATATATCTGAAGATACCAAATGCGGCTAATTCATTCAGTTTGAGCATAAACTTGGATTCTCAACCCAAATATCTCCTGCTACTACATTAGCACATAACACGTGAAACCAACGGAAACACAAAATTGATAATTTGAATGCTCCCAAATCATAACCAACTGGGATTCCAAACTATGCATCAAAATTCTATATCCACCAAACTTTTTCATTTTCCAATTGTTGACCTCAGTAAATCAGCACACACAGCATCTTATCAACATAAAGTAAGATATCTTCTTCATTCGTGAAGAAAACGGTATAGTAGTAAACTTTTAATACAAAAACAAAACTTGTCAGCTACTGTTTGCGGTAAATATAATAGGATTCCAACTATATAATTAATCAAGGCAATCCTATTGAAATAACCATACCACAAAATATTGATATTACTACTAACATAACGGAAAGTTCACCCACCAGAACAAAGAAATGTGATACCTAAACATGAAGAACGCACAAGAAAACTTCGTAAAAAATAAACAAGCAAACAGAACAACTTCATTCTAGCCAGATTCTTCAGAAAAAATTTCGCAGTTCATATATACTGATTCAAACTTAAGCCAAAACCAATTTTCCTACTCACATCGACATCAGAGAAGGAAACCTCTGTCGTTCTCGTCTGCAGTTCTGATTTTTTGGTCGACTCAAGTGCAGTGTTTCGATTTAAGTCTTTCGACCCCTCTATTTCCTTTCGATACTGGTTGGGTTTTCTCTATTTCGCTAGATTTCTGACAATTTTCGCACTCTCAAGTGTTCTTTTTGTCTCGGCACATCTCTCTTGTTTTTTGGTTTCGAAAATCTGACTGTAAAAACCCTAACTCCCTTTTTTACTTTTGCAGAACTCGGCGCCTTTTTCTCAGTTTTACCTCTCAGGTGTGCATTTGATTACATGCTGTATTTTATTAAGGGTATCAAGGACTTTTCCTTTTTTTTAAGGGCAACGTTGTAATTTGATAATTTCTTATATTTTTAAGGTGTATCGAAGATAGAGATGCGGTAGGAAAAATGTAATCCTGAAGTTTGTCCCACCCACTCCATCAACTTTGAAACGTGATTTCTTATAGGATAATTTATATTTAATAACTATTTGGAAACATAGTTTATGCATTCGAATGAGGAAAGATGACGTGAACATTATCCATAACCCATTGACAAATACGACGAGAATCCTTATCAAGACAGTCTCAAATCGGATTTGTCTCTCGACTTAGGAAATTAGCGAATTTGGAGCAAAACTCGGAGGGGATACGAACAGGACGATGGTTCTTGTCGAGCCAAACTGCTGTTGCTTTCTCCTCAAGAACAGGCTGCATCAAGAAATTCAAATCATGAGAGAAACTAAATAAACAAACGAAAAAATCTTTAAAAGGAACAATGGATACAATTCCCAACCTCAAGATTTGGTAATTTAAAGATGAAATCATGGAAGTAAACGCGTGCAATAGACGATCCAGATATCTTCATTTTCATTAGGAATTCGTCTCCACTCTGGCGAAAAGAAGAAGAAAACATTGTTATTTGAAGAAGAAGAAGAAGAAGAAGAAGAAGAAGAAGAAGAAGAAGAAGAAGAAGAAGAAGACATACACGTAAAGGGGAAAGGAATTTCATTGACAGCTCTGAAAGCGCCAAGGTTTCGCCACTGCGGACTACTGAGTCAACATTGATACCAATACTCTCGAGAAGCTCAACTCGACCTTCAAAGGGAGGGAGACAAGTAAATGTATGTCTTGGAAAAACCAATTAGCTATTTGGGTTTCCACAATTAGCTTTCGGATTTAGAGTTAGTTTTCGAAAACAAGATTTTAATTTATAATGGTCTTACCTCAATCGTTGAATCTCTAAAGTCATCTTGAATGATGAGTAATTATGTATTTTAATATCATGACTAATTACTAAAAAAATTTAAATGCATAAGGAAAGCTATATATATTCATATCAATTGTAATCTTCCATAAATGTTTCTTTCCTTAGAAGCTAGGTTTAAACATCCGTTGCATCTGATGAATAACAGAGTGAATATTTGAGCCGCATAAACCCATCTCATAGTGTGTTTATAAAATGTGTAATGTAACTTAAAATTTTAAAATAAACTATTCCTACAAATTTGGAAGAAGAAAGCCGAAATTTCTGTTAACTTTTTCTCGGTAAATGTTTACCCATTTTTTTTAATCAATATTATCGTGAACAAGATGGAGTTAGAAATAAATAAATTAGGGTTAAATTTTTTCCAAAGTCTATGAAATAGTTACGTAGTTATTAATTTCAATGATTATTAAAAAATATCATTTTTATATATTTGTGTGCTTCCAGTAATCATAACTCTTTAGAAATATAGTTATAATAAGGAAAAAAACCCTAAAAATTCCTAAACTTATATTTTGGAGTAATATTAATTCCTAAACTTGTAGAGGTGTCTATTAATTCCCAAACTTGCAAAATTGAACACGTTAAATCCTGAACTTGTTAAACGGTTCCATAATCGTCCATAGCGTTATTTGGTCAAAAAAACGAGTTGACTGATCCGACGTGGCGCTGACGTGGCAGTAATTTTCTGAGTTGGCTTGCCACGTCGGATCGGTCAACTTCTTTTCTTGACCAAATAATGCTATAGACGATTATGGAACCGTTTAACAAGTTCAGGATTTAACGTGTTCAATTTTGCAAGTTTGGGAATTAATAGGCACCTCTACAAGTTTAGGAATTAATATTACTCCAAAATACAATTCAAAATTTTTTAGGATTTTTGTAAATAAAGTATGATTATTTTTTAATTTCTAAATTGATTATGAATTGTTTTAAAAAAATATATTAAAAAAGATATTTCTAAATTAAATGTATTTTTTCCAAATATCCTTTTTAATATATTTTTCTAAAATAATTAATAATCAATTTAGATTTTAAATATTTGATAGAAAGAATACCATTATTAGATTATTTTCTCTATAACAAAATATTGTTATTATTATGATAAAATCTGGACCTAAAGTTATATAGCTAAAGTTGTTATATGTATAACCAATTTAGAAATTAAAAGATAGTCATACTTTATTTACAAAAATTTTAAAAATTTCTAAACTTATATTTTGGAGTAATATTAATTCCTAAACTTGTAGAGGTGCCTATTAATTTCCAAACTTGCAAAATTGAACACGTTAAATCATGAACTTGTTAAACGGTTCCATAATCATCCATAGCGTTATTTGGTCAAAAAAACGAGTTGACCGATCCGACGTGGCATGTGACGTGGCGAGCCAACTCAGAAAATTACCGCCACGTCATATGCCACGTCGGATCGGTCAACTCTTTTTTTTGACCAAATAACACTATGGATGATTATGGAACCGTTTAACAAGTTCAAGATTTAACGTGTTCAATTTTACAAGTTTGGGAATTAATAGGCACCTCTACAAGTTTAGAAATTAATATGACTCCAAAATACAAGTTCATGAATTTTTAGGGTTTTTTCCCTTATAATAATGAATAGTTATATATAAAGGTTCATAAACTTTAATGATAATATCTATCTATATATATAGGGTGGGCCTATTTGTTATGGGGTGGAGTCATGTGCTCGTTTTGATTAATTAAAATTTTTATATTTTTTATAGAATTTATAAAATTTTATATATAATTATTAAGAGAAAATAGCATATAAATACCTAAATTTTTATGAAAATTCCACATAAATACCTAATGTAACGACCCGAGGTCGCTATGGAATGATAGAGCTGTCCCCACACATCAACACGGGACCTTTTAGCGTATTTTGTCCTCACTCGCACACATCCCGGAAAGTACTTCCCAGGAGATCACCCATCCTAAGACTACTCAAGAGCCAGCACGTTTAACTTTGGAGTTCTCTCGAGATGGGCAACCGAAAAGGTAAATGCATCTTGTTGCTATGAGTAGCTCAATTAATTCCTTTAAGTTATCTTAGACTGTATAGTCTCATACCTACACAGCCCTCGTATCCCTCTCATTCCGGTGCGTCCGATTCATCCCTGTACCCCCTACCCAGAAGCTCGTCAGGAGCCATCCATTGTCCATGCCTCTCGTACCGGCGATCACTCCTCGCCCTCCTACGGTATCCTGGGCTGTCACAGGCCCACCAGCTTCCGTCTGGTTCGTCCTCGAACCACACCGTACTGGGAGAGAACCGGCTCTGATACCATTTGTAACGACCCGATGCCGCTACGGAATGATAGAGTTGTCCCCACACACCAACACATGACCTTTTAGCGTGTTTTGTCCTCACTCGCACACATCCCGGAAAGTACTTCCCAGGAGGTCACCCATCCTAAGACTACTCCAGAG